GATGAGGTGGTTGGCTTGGTACAGCCTGGTGAGGAACTTGACGCTGAGCAGGGGCAGGCGGACGCAGTGCAGCAGCTGGGCCAGGTACTTCTGCCGCTCCTGCACGTCGTACTTGATCCAGGACTCCAAGGCATAAAACACGGTCTCCTCTGTCACGACATTCAAGCAGTCATTGGAGACAATTTCATCCAACTCGGAATGCGTGAGCTCAAAGAACTCTTCTGTCTGACAAACCTCCTCAAAGTTCTGACAGATGTACTTGTTAGCAGCCAAGTAGAGGTCATGGCAACCGTAGGTCTCTGCAAAGCGAGAGATCCCGATGCAGTTCCCAGGATCCAGCTGGCTTTCCAGGAATGCACAGCACTCCTTCACCACCAGTTTGATCTGGAGGAGATTGGCAGCTGGAAGAAGTGACTCTACAGTGTCCTGTGAGATGAAGACAGTGCCTGTGTAGGCGTACTCCACGATGGCCTGCAGCGCCGCCTCGTCAACACACTGGAACTCCACCTCCGAGTTCTCCTTCTCCGAGAGGTTCCCGGTGAACATGGCTTTGAAGTAGGGGCTGATGCTGGCCAGCACCACCTTGTGGGCATGGATCTTGACATCCCCCACCCGAAGGACGATGTCGCAGAGCTCCTGGTGCTGCCGAAGGAGGTTCAGGCCTTGCAGAAGCTGCTCGGAATGCAAGTGGGTTAAGTTGGCAAGCATGTAGGTTGGAGACGACTGGTCCATCTGTGACAAACAGAATGTTTAACACATTACTCAGGGCTCCATTACTCATGTACTCAGACATACTGCACAGAACATTTTAAAAAATCTTCTCCTGCTTTTGCTTTCATCTTAATTAGGCCTCTTGCTTTCCAATTTACTTTTTCAATCCTTACGTGCGATGCATTTTGATGCAATCTAAATCCAGGACAATCAGCTGTTTATTAATAGCCTTTGCTATTTTAATCTTTGACTTTTTGTTGTTGTGGAGTAAAGCACATTATTTGAAGCACTGAATACACAAATGGATTCTACATTAGGTGCTTGAGAGAACTAGCAGCAACTGAAATGAAAATAAATACAGATAAATAAAGAAGTGGCTTATTTCAGATGAGGCTTTAGAAGTTCTAAAGCTACTTTCTGCTACTTGCCTTGCAGCCCACTCAGTGGTGCTGTGGGCAGCCCAGCCTTGCTCTACCTGGACCTGCTCTTCATCCCCTTCCTCACCAGCACAGCAGGGTCCTACACTCTGCACAGAGGCAGAAAAGAGCCAGCAGGGCCCTGGGTGCTGGAGCAGAGGTCACTGTGCCCTGAGTGGGCAGAGGAGCCCAGAAGAAGGGGGAGATCCTGCCTCACCTCACTGAGTGGCTTCCCCTGTGAGAGAAAAATCAATCAGGGACATGTCCAACCCCTCCACAGAGATCAGAGCAGGAGGACTGGAGCTGAACCAGCTTCCACCACCAGTGTGAAGGGTGGGAAGCGGTGAGGTGCTTCCCAGGACCACCTCCACATCCCCCCAGTACAGGCAGCTGCCCACTCACCCCAACATCACCAGTAAGGGCAGAGAGAAGGATCCTCATTCCAACCCACAGCTCCACAAAGCCCCCAGATGCTTCTTCCAAAAAGTTCTGGTTTGCATCGTGACACCTGAAGGCCCTGGGATCCCTGCTCTAATTTCAGTGTCATTAACACTCCAGCAGAGCTGCCCACCACTGCCTGCTGGAGCAGCACTTCTGCAGCTCTTTATTCAGCTGAATTATTATCCCAGTGAGAGGGTGGAGGGGATGAACGTGTCAGGATCCCAGAGCAGGAGGGAACAACCATTGTTCTACAGAGAACACTGCAATCACCCAACTCCTGAACTGAAAAGTTGATTTCATTTTGATTTGCTAAATGACTACACCAACTGCAAGACCTCACCTCTTTTATCTTACTATTAAGAAGTTCATCATTTTTACAGCTCCTTAACTGACATCTAATTTGCAGTGAGCCTACTTACAAAGTGCTTAATCTGAAAAAATAAATTGGTTGCCAACTTTTCAGTGCAGAACATAATAGCTCTGACAGAGAAGTGAAGGCTTGCAGCTAGGGACAGAAAACTTCTTACCCACTGACAGACAAGTTAGCTCATCCTTCTCCTACTACCTTGGAAAAAAAAACACAGCTGAAAGAAACTATATTAAGCACACATGCAAAAGGCAAGACTCCATACAAGTAACCTTTTCCATACAATGACAGTTTTGCAGCACAAATTAGATGGGGGAACTAAAAAAGAGCTGTTCAGCAGCTAGAACACCTTCTTCTTTTGAGTTCACACTCCGTTCAGAAACTGACTGTACATGCACACAGAAATCCTAAACCACAAGGTAACACCACACAGAAGGACAGAGGAACAGTTACAGTTCAGATGCAGTATCTGTAAGACCAGTTACAATTAACAACATTTAAGTTATTCTTCAGAAAGAAAAAGCTTTTGCACTGACTTGGCAGAGGTGTCTGCTGTTGCATCTTGCACAGCTGCTGCTTGCCCACACCAAACAGCTGCACGTGCTGGTTTTATCGTGGGGCATGGGATCCAAGGCTGGAACACTAACCAGCCCTGCAGAACATGTGCTGATCCAGCACTTTGTGCTCACGAGAGCAGCCAAGGGGTTGGTTGCCCCAGGGCTGGGGACCATCAGATCCTTTGCAGGGTCAGCAGGTAAAACTTACCTTGAAGGGCAGGGAAAGGGTTGTTGGAAATAAAGAGGTTAAGCAGAGACATAAATACCTAAGCCTGCTGACTGAAGGTCCTTATTCTGAGGTGTGAGATGATACCCAGTGGTGAGGAGCACAGCATCTGCTTCCTGCGAGCACAACAGAAGGGCTGCGGGCACCGCTCCGGGGCAGTATTTAAACGCTCTCCCGCCCCTTATTCAGGCTAAAAAGCAGCTGGTGCCAACGAGCCGCTCGTCTCGTTTAGTTACTCGCCGGAGCACAAACCCTCAGCAGCACCGCCCTCGGCGCCGCGCTGACTCGGCCTCCGAGGGCCCGACGCGCCACAAACGGCCCCGCAAACCCCGCGGGAGCTGGCGGAGCTC